ATCCTGGAAATTGGTCTGAAAGTTTGTTTTGATGATTTCTAGGTCAAGTTTGAATATGTGTCACCTGGGTAAAAAACTAGGTCGCACTGCTCAAATATGGATAATCCTTGTTAACACTGTAGTAGTCACATTTTTGACTCACCTGTCATGAGACTTGGTCAGAATGCTTGTCTAGGTAATTGTTTGGATGAGTTTGATAATTCAGGTGAGCGATCTAGGGCCATCATGGCCCTCTTGTTTTATGTTTCAGTTAAAATTTCTACATGTTATTTTGGTTGATTTAAAATATTAAAATAATCCTTACTTTGTGACTCAAAATTTATTTTTTCAACAAACAAGAACATTTAAAAAATGATGATTTTTTCAGACATATACACAAATTTAATGGACTATTGTTAGACTATTGTTGCTTCTTGCAGAACTTTGTAAAATGCTGATCTGTTTTACGTAAAAATCTAGAGATTTAAAATATTTTGCACAAAAACTTTGTTGTATAGGTGTATGAATAAAATGTGTCAATTCTCACCAATTTTAACGCTGGTCACATAATAATATGCCATTACCGTGAAATAAGTGATGACGCAGAATTAGTGATGTTGAATATATGCAGGAATTATGTCTTTCCTTAACATTTAGTAACTACACATGTATTTTCTCCTTTAAATAGTCGATGTTTCTGCGGTAAAGGATGAACCATTTCAAATTTAATTTTACCTTAAGAAAATGTGAACATTTTAGATCAGACTTTTCTATGAATAGTTGTTATTATGAAAAGTTTATGGCAGAATATTGTTACAATTATTGTGACTACAGGAAGATTATTTGACTAGGCGTTACACCGTGTTTAAAAGACCTGAACTTATAACTAATTTTAACTGGACGGTAAATAGAAATTGATCTTAATTTTTTTTTATTTAAATCGTTTTGCTTAAATCAAAATGATGACTTAAATGTTATGTTTGTATAATTAATTGGCATACTACTTTGCCAGGAAGCAAGACATCACTGACACGTATAAAAGCTGTCATTAACTTAAATTACGAGCAGTTAACGTTTCCAGTAAATGTCATTCCATTTATCACTTCAATGTTCGAAACTGTTTAATAACCTAGTATCCAGGAGAATATCGTTTCTTTCAAGGAATAAAAATCACGAACCATATAAACCATGGGAAAATTAAGAGTGTGTCAAATGTCAAGTGTTGCCGATTTACTTTAAGTGCTTGCGTTTAAGTTTTATTCTAGGAAGAAAATGTTTGTCATGAATTAGTTGATTTATGTATGTCATTTAGTACTTCACACGCTTCCAAGTGATTGGATTTTTATTAATTTTGCTCATGTTTCAACGACAAAAATTAATTAACCAATACAAATCTTTATATTTTGCTCCTCTAGTGACGTCATTTTATCACATAAGGGGTTCTTTCAATGACGATTACCTAAAAATTCATAAATGATAGTCTTCTAAATGGTTATTTATTTGTGTTCAAGTAAAAAGCAAATTTGAAAAGATTATGACGAAACAATTGTGAAAAATGTGATAAGCTCATTTGTCCATTGTCAAATTGAGCTAAATCGGCTGAATAGTAAAAAGATTGACAGTTGACAACTTTGTTTATATTTTGCTAATTTTATGATAAACAATTTCATCAGGTAACAAACATCTAGCATTTCTCTTACACCGTTATTTAAATATTACAAAATTGATGTTTCTGAAGAAGTATAAAAGTACTTGTTTCTGCTTGAAAGTCATTTCCTGTAATATTTCTAAATAAATGTTAGCTTCAAAGAACGAAATACTTCGATATTTTTTTTTCATCTTTGCGTGTCGAAAAAGTGTACGTATAAATATTAAGACATCCAAAAAAAAAAGATTTCATAAAAGGGTTTGGTAATTATTTGCGATACATTTGTCGAAGTTATCACTACCTTTAAAAATATTTTAGAAAGATATTGAACAAAATTGTTCTCCCGGCAATGATACGACCATTTTGGTGCAAATACGCTACGTAGGAGAGTCAGTATATTTAATAACAATGTGGTGGTGTGTGTTATAAGTCTTATGGGCCTTGTATAAAGAAGTAGTAAATATCTATAGAAATGGATCTGTAAATGTCCCTTTTCACAAAATTCCACTTAAGTTTTTAAATAATCTCATACTATCTTGAGATGTAAACAATTTGTCAAGAATGATAATGTACAAATTGAAGCAAGAAATTTTTCACACTCACAAAACATGTAATTCCCATTCCCAAGAAATGACAAGAAAGAAAGAAGAGATGAAAAACAATTGTACATAATGTTCAGCTAGCTGGGCAAGTGTGTTTTGCATCTAAAATATAAGTTTTGTAAAGTAACTAAAACAAACACGTTATTTTTGACTGAATATTTGTTCATACTTCATATTTGAATTATCAGCAGAAACGTTACAAATGGTCTCAACTTTTATTTTAAAATATACGATATTCCTTTTTGAAATATTACGAACTTTCAGTAACCTCTTCAGGGACAATGATTACAATAATTATACAGCATGCGATTTTATACCATTCATTGTATTGTTCTAATGAGCATGCGTGTCGAAATAAACACAGCGTTGAACCCATCAAATAGAACGATTTTTATGCGAACTTTTGCCAAGTTTATGGCATCATCTTTATGTAATTATTTCCCGAATTAACCCTATTTAAACGTCTGTATTAAATTGGGAAATATATCACAAGTTGAAAAAGAGAACAGCCTTTTACAGCTTAAACCTGTAATGTTTCGAAAAGCCATTAACATTCTAATCGTTTGAAATGATATTTATAATTATTCAGAAATCTCCTAACAGTTCAACTAAAGAGAGTTCAATATACCAGCTGAACCTTGTTTCTTTATGTTAACTAGTTTGCCTTAATACTTATATCCTTATTTGTATATTTTCTTTCTAATTATATTGTTATACTGACAACATTCGCACAAGACGGCATAAAGTTTTTAAATGTTGACAGTCTCGCACATGTTCTTCTTAAATAGATAAAACCAAGAATAAGCCTTTAGTGTGTATAATATCCTTGAGAGTGTTTTAGCATTTGATTTCTGTTTAACTTTCCATCACATTTAAATATGTAAAACCCGCTTTCTGTCGCTTTATTGGATACAATTTGAATACTTTCTTTTAAGACTGGGGAAATTATAGATATTATTTTACTTGTTATCTTTTTTCCACTTATTATCTAGTTGTAACAAAAAACTGTGAAAGTAACTATCTGTTTAAATATGCAGTATATTGTGATTTCGTTCGAAAATGTCAAACATCTATTTAGACTACGGTGTAAACTGTTATATACGATTGGAGTTCATTTCACCTATAATTTTAAAAAGACGTAGAGAATACAGACATGGTATAGTACTTGACCGAAACTAGATTGTCGTTCATATGTGAATGTCTGATATTTCATATCAGTTTAATTATTATATATGATGGTGGGCAAAAGAATTACAATAAACCATAAATTGAGGTATTGGCGTGGCCTATTGTTTGACCCGGTAGACTAGTTAGACATCGTTTGAATCCCTTCAGCTGCAAGCCATTGTCTCCATGTGCAAGAATCTTTGCACTAATTGATTAGTTGTGATTGGATCCATTGACAGATTCGACAGTGGTTAAATACGGTTCCAATACAATTAAACTAAAACTAACTAAAATTTGTATATTAAAATATAGTTAATTCATACAAATCATTTATTTTGTCATTTAATCGGTAGTAACACTAAACATAGTCATGTCTATAAAAACTTAAATTCTTAAATGAATCAAAATAACATAAAAAACAGATGTTTCTATTTTAATAAAAACACCTGAAAAAGACACCAGTAAGAAATACGACATTATTATATCAAATGATATGAAAGATATAAGAACGTTTAGAAAATATATAATATATATGTGTGTTTTCCTACAATCAACACGTTTTGGAACGTAGGGGATAAAACCACATCTTCAATTATCATAATATAATATTATAAAAAATCCAAACCAGAAATAATACCTGCTATCATACAGTTAAACAAGACTGGTGTATTGTTGTAAAAAGGACAAATACATGTCCATATACATATGTATGGAAATATATTTAGGGAAAACATAGTTGTCATTAAAACGACAAATCATTGTAGTTTTTTTTAAACGTAACATTGGTATAATAGGGGTCTACATGCTTTTGTAGATGATAAGATAACGTGTGATGACATATTAGCTTGGAAGTTGATTTCAAAGTTTATCATTTTTTTCCCGAAACTTGGCTGAGACGTCGTATCTGCTTCAATACTGAAATTAATAATGAAAAATTTTATGTTACAGAGATAACATAACACAAGTCATGAAATTCGAGTCATATCGATATACTTGTAATATCTATTTACATACTAGCTTCACTGACTTCTAATTCGGAAGGAATGTTAAAAGAAAATGATCGTTACACTCAATATTGGAGAACAATTGACATGACGAAGATCGAACCAACGACGCTGGATAATAAATCAGATGCTCACCATAAGGAACTAAGCGGGCCGACGTGCGTATATGAAGTATTTAAGGTGACAACGGACCCTTTACGCAGTACCACGAAAAATGCCATTTAAAACTAGTTTTTTGCGTAATAATTGTTATTTATGAAAAATTTATGCATTAAATATCCTTTATTTATATATAAATTTAAAAAATTCTAAAAAATGCTTTTGGAAAAACATGATTTTAAACAAAAACTGTATAATTTCAAATCGTCACAACAAAGTCATCTTTCATTTTTTTGCCATCAAACTCATGAAATATATACATCATTATAATATCTAGGGAACCGTGTCTCAGATTTTTTCTATCTTTTCTCAAAAAAATATTACGTAACGTCAAACATTTTAAGCGACTTTTTTCACACTACTTATTACGTAATTAAAGATAATTAAACATCTGGTTGAGCAAACAAAATTCCCTGACATGTAAATGAATTTCCTTTCATGTGTTTCAAACCGCATGTTAATTGCTTCATTATTAAAAAAGTTATGCCGATTTAAAATTGGTCCGGTTTACATCAAACGAAGTGTCAAAATCGGCCTTTTTTATGTTAATCCCTATTTTTACGAGATATTATTGCATAACTTGACAATATCGCATCAAATGGGGTCATAATATGCGGTCTCACGCTCTAACACACTTTTATGACCCAATCATATCTGACCAATTAAAAATTTGTTCATAACTAGCATTTTAAACAAGAAATTTCCCCATAACCTAATGTGATTTATTGTTCGTCTGGTATCTGTCGCAGTAGTCACGTGACTATCGGAAAAATTTGAGGCACTCAGTGGGGAAATGGAGCGTATAGAGCGATCATTGACTACCGCTGTTCAAAGTGCGGGGTAACGACTTGTTTCACTTTTAAATAATGTAAATTATAATAATAATTTAAAAAATACAAATAATAATTATTAAAATTATTATTATGGTGGTGGCGATTGAAAATTTATGTGTTTCTTCTATGAAATAATAAATGCTAGACTACTTGATTGTTATCGTTCGTTATAATTTAAAGATATACTATTCAAATATTTATTATTTAAAAAATATTGGTAATTGCAATGCAGACTTTGGTAAATATAAAATAGGTATATTTTGACTTCACATTAAGTAGATATGTTATGTATTAAAACCTAAACACTATAAGTGGACACACCATGAAAATATATAGTTTCATTAAAAATCTGACTTTTTTTAAACGGAAGGAGCCGTTCTTAGGAACCCAGATTCCCATACATATTTTGTACGTTTTTTTAAATAAGACATATTCAGCAAGAATTTTGTAATTGTAAACAATTTTCTGCAATAAAAATATTTATCTCAAAGATGTGAATAGTATATCTTTGATTATTTCACCATGTAAATGAGTACATAAAAGTCGTGTATAAGGTAAAAAGTACTTCAACAAAAACTTATTTCGCACATAATGCTAACTTCAGATGACTGCCTGTTACATTTCGCATTCCCGTTCTCCCTTATGTAAAATCTCGGCTATGTAAAGCTGCAGTCTAAACACATATTTAGCAAGACACTGTCATTGCCAAATGCATAAAATATGCATCGAAATAAGGGAAATGTATACCAATATTATCTTTTTTGTATATCATAAAAAATAAAGTGTTGTATTGCATACGTTATTCACAGGATATTGATTTACAACTAGCATTTGTTGCTGTACTGTATCATGTATTTGTGGCAAATGCGTAAGTTCGAACCCTGCTTCCGGCAATGTCTCTTTATCGAGAATTTCGAAAACTGATTATAATCCAACGTATTTTTTCTAGATTTGATTCAACATTCTTCAAATATGCTCTGCAGATGACCGTTGACATTCAGAAAAGCGATGGAAAAACAGGAAGTCAAATCAGATACGCAGTTTACCGCCACTGGGCGAGAGAGTTGAAGGTATTTTAAGAATATGCACACAATAAGTTATTCAAATATCAAGCAATAGTAAATCTGGCGCAATACAAGCACTTGCAATTAAACATTTATTCATGTCATTGACGAACTATCTTCCGTCTGCCTATCCGTAACATTTCGGTCCGGGATTTACACTAAATGCTCTAGATGAACAATTAACGAAATGCAATTTCGTAAGAACATGCTTATCACACATGATGTGAAAAAAGTTTGTCCAACTAGGGTAAAATTCGCCTAGCCCATATCTCGATGTACATGAAATATAACTGCTTTCATTTTATTATTCCATTTATTTATGTTGCACTCCTTTTACAGAGAATGGATGTTGGCATGGATACGATGGGAAACCCGCAGTATGAGTTTCCGAAAGAGGCCACCGAGTATTTACGAAAGCTAACTGGCGGCCCAGCCAAAAGAGAGAAACGACAGGTAAACATTTATCAATTTAATTAATCATTAGGCAATCACAATAAAATTTATTAATCAGAAATCAAACACAACAGAACATTATATTTGTTTGATCTAATCTATCGTCATATATACACAAATACAATACATATATAATACATATATATACAACATATAAGTATTTACTATATATACAAAAATCAAATCAATAATTGATATATCATGCCAGCGAAAAATTATACCAAATTCAATTGCGTCAAACTATTTGCCTATCCTCAATTAGAAAAATATGCTTTCATAACGAAGTGTCAATTTACCGGTAAATGAGAAAAAATTTACATAAGTGTATAAAAAAGTGAATATCAATATTCTCAATTGTTGCAAATTTATCAAAGTACAGTTACTATATGTATGTATTTACAAAATATTCAATATTTTAGGTGAAGGTAGTAGTTCCAATGGAAGTATTGTGCCGTGCCCTTGCCGTTCCTCCAAGGACCTAGATCGACCTGGCAGAAAGCCGTATTTTCGGCATGCATTATGAAATGTACATTTCAAATTGTGTTTTTTGTATTTGTTTGGAAATAAAATTATTTATAATATGTGTTTTTGTTCATTGTTGAAATAATCTACTACACCTGGAAAGTGTCATGGCATGTAAAGCAACAACAGTTACTGCCAAACATTGCTTCAAAATTTAGTCTATCACATAGTGTATGGAATGTCGTGATGTAGTAAGTTCACATGTAAGTTGGGGGGGGGAGGGGTATGACTACGGTGGCATAGAAGTGGGGAAGGGGAAATGTTGTTCTATAATTTGGGAGGGGGTATCGTCCGTATGGGGAGAGGGTGGGGTACAGAGGCTTAATTCTATTTATCAGCATTTATGCAACAGTTTATACACACATATTTCTTTTGTGTCCTTTCATTGGCATATTGCACTTCCTACATCTCCGAACAGTGTCACTTACGGCACAAACTGCATACTTTCCTGACTCGTACGTTTTTCCCTCCATTTTCTGAAAAGCATCCTCCATTTTAAGTGTTTCTTTTCGAATGTCCTTTCTCCTCTGTTTCCATTCAGGTTTGTGTTTGTATTCAGCAATTTGTATGCGTTTTTTATCAAGCGACCGCCACGTTTTAACAGTGAGATTTGGGATGCTAACTCCAATTTTTTTACACAATGCCTTATTGAAAACCTCCTGGCCCGAGTTCCAGTGCCCAACAGTCATTGCGGTTGATAGTCTGTACGCACTTTCACTATTATATTGTCGTTTTGACACTAATTTCCATAAAATTGAATGACAAGCCTCGTTTGCGTTCTGAGTAAGTCCCATTTGACAAGTTTTTAGGAGACTTTCTGACGAAAGTTCTTCAATTATTGGTTCTATTTCCTTTGTCACTGCCACCGGAAATGGATATTTCGGGAATTTGTACGTGTCTGTTCCCTGGGCTTTATCTACTTGGAATTTACACCAAGAATCCTCGCCGTTCGGGCAAAGATCATGGGTGGGATTTTCGGGAGTGGCTGAATAATGTGCGATTATAGCGCGTGTAGCTTTTTGCATAGCATCTAAGTTGCCTTTGTTTGTTCTAAGTCCTATTCCATAAAACACCTGAAAACTATCTATCACTTTATGGGTTAATCTGCAGCGACCGGAAATGCATTTTCCGTCGTCAAGCTTGCGTCCTTTATTTTCTTGCACAATTTTTCTTAGTTTGTTTCCCATTCGTTTCTGGATATGGCCAACACAGTTCTCCTTAGTGATTTTAATATCCGGGCCATAAATATTCTGTTTTATAACACTTCGGTAAGATGAACTGTCACCATCTCCCACGAAAACTGTGTACCTTAGCCCGCGCTTTTCAAGCGATCGTCTATATATGTCGAGGATACAAGCTGCTTCCATAGAGCTTGACGAGCCCTCGTGAGTTTTGGTACATGAAGGACTGTGATTTGCCCTCCAAGTCTCATACTCTGGACTGCCCTTTTTACCTTCCATAGTTTTGCACATTTTGCAAAGTTTGTATTTGTACTCGTAGTCTATTATTCTTCCCGTATCAACAGAAATGGCAAACACTACACAAAACGACGCCGAGTGTCCTACGTGATTCCATGTGCCGTCGAACGAAATTGCAACGTCTGTAAACTCCTGACCGTTGCACTCCCCTAACTGTTGCTTCATGAACTTTAACTCCGAAGTAGCCCGAGCCATGTCCTCCTCCGCTACGAATTCAATGTCGTCTGCTAGGTCATTCTGAAACATATTAAATAATCATGTAATAAACGAGTACATATACGCATATGCATATAATATATATTTCAGAGGATGCCTAATTTGTGAGATGCCTCATATTCAAATAAGCGAGAAATTGTTCAGAAATTTACTTTGCGATCAACATCTAATAAGAAACAACAGTAAAGTACAAAAACGTGCATTCATTTCATTTGCACGCGAGTCACGTGCACTGTTTTGATTTAGCGCGAAAATGCAGTTAGTGAACGATTGCGGTTTCTGGTAAAAATAATGATAACGATATCAATGATAATAGATTTAATATTTTACGAAAAATTTATTATATGAAATCAAATGCCTCCTTGTCAATTTAAAACAAGACTGACATGTTTCATGTAGCCCGGTGCATATGTAATATACAGAAGTAAAAATACTAGCTGAAGAAAAAATAATGGTCTGAATATTTTACATAAAATGTCGGCAATGATCTCAATTGATCTATTGAAATAACTAACTATTTATGAAGAGTCGTTTACCATTACTTTTTCAATTTTTCAAAACTACATGAATAGTCAAAATAATAAAAAAATGCGTAACTTTGGAGTTGTGCTATATTGGATGATAAAACTGAATATTTCACATACTTTCAGTCTGTTGCGATTTTATATATTGGATGCTTCCTTTCGTTAGATTTTTTATTGATCATAACTAAATCTAAATAAAAAGTTTGGTTATTTTTTATTTATGCGTGTGTGTGTTTGTTTCTCTTACTCAACTTTGAAGGTGTAATGTGCTATTTTGACAAATATGTTTTTTTTAAAAATAGACCGGATATTTCTTACGCAAATTGCATATATGCACATAAAGCTTTCCTTGCTTAATAATTATAATATTATGCGTTCTAATTAGAGGGTCAAGGGTGTCAGTAACGTGCGACAAAGTCGGCACGCGCCGTGGTTTATGACACCAATATATAATTAGATCAATGGATTAGCTTGCACCACGCGGTCTTGTATATACACCAATCACACCTCGGTTTAATGGTTA